GTTAGATATTATAGAAACTGTGAGAAATCTGTTGCCTTTTTGGTATCAAAAATTTATAGCAAACTCTGCGCATGATCTGTCTTTTCAGGTTTGGCTGTTGGGGTATATATATATATGTGCATATATTTCTTTTTAAATTTCGATTTCAATTTGCTAAAAATATACATAGAAATGCATTGGTATATTGCAACAAAAAACGTAAAACTGCTTACAATATATCTGATTTTAGAAATACAACGGACTAAAGTATAAATAATATAAAACACAGTAACATAAAATAATAGTATATATAACGAGTAATAATATTATATCAATTTAAAATACTGCAATATGGGAATTAAAATAACGTGTGCACCTCCTAAATGAAGAATATGTGCTTTGTAGTAAACAAGTTTTTGTTGGTTATTTTCAGAACAATATTCCTCTTCATTCTCATCATTACTGGAATTTTTTACTGTATTTGATGGAAACCAGAGAATTTTGTAAGCGAAATCTTTCTTGAAGTCTTTATCGTCCTTGGGATAAAAATTTTTGATGTCGCATACTTTTACCATACTTTTTACATTGTCTTCGAGAAACCTCACATAGGCATATTGGATTGCCATTTTTTCTGAAATACCTCTGCAATAATTACCAATCTTTGTTATAACAAAACAAGTACACTATTATACACTATCGTAAAAGGAACTACAACCTTTACCTATATAGTTTATAAATTTATGACAATTTAAGCCCATCCGATATACAAATGATTAAAGACTAATATTATATTAAATTGTCTTGCGTCAATCTATTTTTGTTAACTAAACAATTAAATAATACTGTATTTTATTGTAATCGGAGGAAAATTCTGTCATATAAACATTAACTGTAATTGATGTGTAACTGATGTAATTATGTGTCAATATCTATAAAATGAGCAGATACTTTTGCTTATTTTATCACTACAGTTTTATTTTATTATTGTATCACCAAAGTCTTTATCGCACGACCTTGATCAGAACTAATTATAAACTTTGATTAGTTTCTTAGATAGCACGAACTGCACATAATATCCGTGACAATGCAGCCTATATCAAACCCGAAACATATATAATACTTGATAGACAGCTAGGATATATAATATGTATCATTTTATTATTAACTAGCATTTGTAACCTGATGTAATTTGGAGAAAGCTAGGAATTTGTATTGTTCATTTTTAATTTTGAAATATGTATATTTAATAAGATAGAGTCTGCTTATAAACTGCTTATGATCGTGCATTTGACGAGTTTACCTTGATAAACTTGAAAAGAGGTAGAAAATAGTTAGGAATTAGGTTAGGAATTGTATCGGCCTTTTTTCTGTATTAATTTAGCGTCTTATTGTAATTTTCTTCGCTCAATGTTAATAATGAATAGAAGTTTTATTTAGATCGTTTGCTGAAATTACTGTTAGTTACAGAGACGCAACTATCACACTCTTACCTTAAATCGAAATGCGCGAAAAAGTTAGGTTATTGTACCAGAATGAAGTAGAATGGAAAAATTCTTATAAAATGCCACTGCTCTTATATTCCTGGATGAGAATCAGTTAAATTATATACTTGTGAAGCCTAGATCATCAATGTATCCCTGTCTTTTCTTGATGGAAATCCGCTTTCAGTGGCTAATTATTACATTGTATTCACCACTATCAGATCTGTTCTCCTTTTCCTTTTCGTGCCAAGACTGCCAAGTCCATAAGATAATCCCTCCTCTTTTTCAATATGGGCCTAACTGCGCGCTGTATATATGCATGTATGCGCGGTATATATAACCCGTATCTACAATAAATGTAGTAATTAAGCTTTAAGTGTTAAAAAATTAATTGACGAATCATAATCGAATATTTTCTCTTAATTTACTTTCAATTGTGAATACAATTAATGTACGTAAACTTTTTCACTTTTCGGCGGATAGAAAGTTACGTACATGATAATTGATTTTGATACCCTACTCAATGCGGTCATTGTAGACGTAAAAAAAGGTCGTGTATGTGTTTATAATATTTTCACATAAATTATTAGAATAAGGATTTCATTTTTCATAATTACTCCTCAATCATTATGAGCAAACGTCCAAAAAGTATAAATCTTGGCTACATAATTCTACATCAGACCAAAATGGAGATAATAATAATAATATATCCAAAACTACGAAAAATATGTTTAAGAGGTTAAGTTGACAATTATCCGCCCAGAGCATACAGATCATATCTGATGATGAATATAACGAAGTAGAAATTAATTATGGTAACATCCAAGTAAATTTATAAAAAAATTATTATTTTACGCGATTAATATATTAATAATGGTTTTAATAAACTCGTTTAATTAACAATTAATATATCATATATCCTTAATTAATTATACTTATATATGATTTTTATTTCAGAGTTACAACGCACCGGTTAGTCCGTCTCATTCTAATAATGCAGATGTAGACAATAATGAACTGCATCAATTTGATGATCATCATTCCATTGCATTATCTACAGATGAAATTGAATTTGAACAAAATGCAGGACTCCAGTTAGATATAATTAAAATTAAAGCTAGTAAATCTTTATAAAATGCATCTTTTTTTCCTTCGATCAATTCTGCAATATCTTCTAAAATTGATCATTATATCATCTCTTCATTCTGTTAATATAGTGCATGGTAAAAAGTGATGTATTGATCGATGCTTTCTATATATATTACTCTTATTATAGTATTTCTTACCACTCTCACCTGCATATTCGCATCAGTCATATTATTTTCCTGTTATATCTCTTCTTTATCATATATTCCACTACACTGCAAAATAATAATTGCTTCATCTGTCATATGTATCATGAAAATTTTTTTTATAATATAAATGAAAAATTATTAAAAATATAATCGCTCAGTTCTGTATATTCTTTTTAAAGTACTTTCATAAATATACTAATAAATGTAGTCACATACAATATTTAAAAGGAATATACGAGGGTCATTTGAAAAGTTTCCGGCTTTATCAACATAAAGTAACTGTACAAAAAAATTTTCTTTCGCCGTCCGATAGATAGTCTTAACATATGTAAACCGTAAAAATTTGAAGTCATTCTGATCATTACTTTGTCTATGGCAACTCTCCAAAGTTGTCAGCTGACATTGTCTGTCAACAATGGAGAAAATCGAGTATCGCGCAGTGATAAAATTCCTTCATTTGAAAGGGAAAAAGACTCAGGAAATAAAAGATGAGTTAGACTCTGTATACGGTGAAGCCTCCCCTTCATTTACAACGGTCAAACATTGGGTGACCGAGTACAAACGTGGTCGTACGAGCATTTTAGACGTTAGAGGAACGCCGGGCGCCTGAAAATCGCTACAACTGACGAAATGATCGATTTTGTGCATCAAACTGTGTGATGCAAGATCGTCGATTGACTGTTAAGGATATTGCTGAGGCTTGTGGGATATCATCAAAACGGGTGCACAAGATTTTACATCAAGAATTAGATATGAGAAAATTATCCGCGCGCTGGGTGCCGCGCTTGTTGACGATCGACCAAAAGCGCATACGGGTGGACATGTCGCGCGAGTGTCTTAGCCTGTATCAAAAAAATCCAGCGGAATTTTTGCGGCGAATGATAACCGTCGATGAAACCTGGGTACATGACCATACGCCTGAGATCAAACAACAGTCAAAGCAGTGGTGTGCGGTGAGGGAACCAACTCCGAAGAAGGCAAAGGTCGTTCTCTCTGCAGGAAAAATGATGGCGACAGTTTTTTGGGATTGCCGTGGAATAATTCTTATCGATTACCTTGCAAAGGGTGAAACAATCAACGGACAGTACTACGCTGCATTACTGGATAAATTGAAGGCCACAATTAAGAAAAAACGTCCGCATTTGGCCAAGAAAAAAATCCTGTTTCACCAGGATAACGCTCAGGTTCACACGTGCATGGTCGCAATCTCAAAATTGAACGAATTGAAGTTTGAATTGCTTCCGCACCCTACTCGCCAGATCTAGCTCCCAGCGACTTTTTCCTGTTTTCAAATTTGAAAAAATTTCTCGGGGGAAAAAAATATAAGTCAAATGCTGAGGTGGAAAACGCTGTAAATTAATATTTTTCAGGTTTAGACAATCAATTTTTTTCTGACGGTTTAAAAAGATGGGAGAAACGTTGGACCAAATGTATCGAGTTGCAGGGAGACTACGTCGAGAAATAAATTTTGTTTTACTTCGAAATATGTGTTTTTCTTAAAAAGGCCGGAAATTTTTCAAATGACCCTTGTAATTAAGAAATCAAGTCTACTGCAGATTTCAGGATTCTATTAAAAAAATGTTAAATAAAATATAATGCAATCTTTTGCGTAAAATATCCGCGGGCTATATTCTCTCGTTCAAGACACATCATTTTTATATAAATAAATGCATTTCACATAATTAAATCTAATCGAATTTATTTACAGATATTACACAATTCAGAAAAATACAAATGATACGCAAAAATATTTTTGATATTTGCCGAAAAGATTAGAGATTAACTTTAGGAATTTTCGGTAGCACTGCATATACTAGCGCCTTTCTGTTTAAAATCTATATTTCGGCTAGTTACATTATATAGACTATAAAATTTAATTAAAATTATCTAGATGACTCACAAATCTAATCACTATATTCACCGACGAGATACTCTTAAAGACCGACACCCTTACGGGACTTAGCGTGGCATGTTTAGTAATTGCTAAAATTTTAGCAATTAGTCAATAATATAACATTAATTTTATGATTTATTAATAGATCAATGGTTTT